TTTCCTCTGCCAAGCTCATTATTCCACCATGTTAAAATTCAGTCTCAGTCTACATGTCAAAAAAATACAGCAGAATCTTTGTCAGACTATCATGTGAAGAACTTCAAGGCCAGGCGATTCCAGAGTCCATGTTTTTCTGTGAACCCTCTTGAACTTAACCTCCACTTTTAGAAATTCTCTTTGTTTTCTGGTGTTCCCTATCAAGCAAGCAAAAAATAAATAAAAACAAACAAACAAAAAAAAACAAACAAAAAAAAACCCCAAAACAAAAAAGACAAAAAAACCACACAAAACACACAAAAAACAAAAAATAAAAAAACCCTCAATACCCACTTCTATTTAATTTCTGCATTTAATGACTTTCTATTCCCCAATACCAAACTCTTCCTCATTTATCCATCAAACTTGTTTCAAAGCCTACAGACTCTGTTCATTTTAAAAGTTACTTCTTGTTATTAATTGCTAATTAGTCTGATCATCAGAAACGACATGGCAAGAAACAACTTAATGTTGCAAGGAATACAAACCAGAGGAAGCAGCCTCCAGGTGATTTTCATACTGCCCTGCAGAATCAAGCAGAGAGGAAAAAGGAAATGGGGCAATGGTATAAAACTCCAGTGAGTTGAATCTTCCTCCAGTGAGTACACTGTCCTAGCAAGGCTCCATCTCCTAGAGCTTCCATAGCTTCTCTAAACTTACCACAACTTTGAGATACTATCTTACACCTGTCAGAATGGTGAAAATCAACGCACCAACGATAACCTATGCTGGAGAGGATGTGGAGTAAGGGCTGGTTGGAATGCAAACTTGTGCAACTACTTTGGAAATTAGTGTGGTGGTTTCTCAGGAAACTGGGAGTCAACCTACCTCAGGATCCAGCAATACTACTCTTGGTAATATACTCAAGAGATGCCCAATTATACTACAAAAGTATTTGTTCAACAATGTTCAAAGTAGTACTATTTATAATAGCCAGAACCTAGGAAAAACCTAGATGCCCCTCCATAAAAGAATGGATAAACAAAGTTTGGAACATCTACACATTAGTGTACTACTCAGCAGTAAAAAACAATGACATCTTGAATTTTGCATGCAAATGGATGGAAATAGAAAACACTATTCTGAGTGAGATAACCCAGGCCCAAAAAGATGAATATAGTATGTACTCACTCATTAGCGGATTCTAGCCATAAACAAAGGACATTGAATTTATAGTTCACGATCCCAGAGAAGTAAATAATAAGGTGAACCCAATGAAAAACATATAAATATCCACCTAGAAATTGGAAGCAGAAAGATCGCCAGGCAAATGTTGGGAGCATGGGGGTGGGAGTGGAGTGCGAGGAAGGAGAGAGACAGATGGAGAAGTGAGAAAGGGAGGATTGGTTAGAGCTTGGGGGAGTGGGATGGTTGAGATGGACGAAGGGTGAATATGGGAGCAGGAAAGAAGATATGTTAGTTAAGGGAGCCATTTTAGGGTTGGCAAGAGACTTGGCTCTAGAGAGGTTCCCAGGTGTCCACGGGCATGTCCCCAGCTAGATCCTTGGGCAGGAGAAGGTGCCTGAACTGGCCTTGTCCCATAGCCACACTGATGAATATCTTCAATATTACCGTAGAATCTTCATCCAGCCATGGATAGAGATAGAGACATAGACCCACATGGGAGCCCTGGACTAATCTCTCAATGTCCAGTTGAAGAGCAGAAGGAGGGAGAACATGAGCAAGAAAGTCAGGACGGCGAGGGGTTCGTCCACCCACTGAGATGGTGGGACTGATATGATGGGAGCTCACCAAGGCCAGCTGGACTAGGACTGAACGAGCACGTGATCAAACCGGACCCTCTGAATGTGGCTGACAATGGGGGTTGACTGAGAATCCAATGATAATGGCACTGGGATTTGAACCTATTGCATGTACTGGCATTTTGGGATCCTAGTCTGTTTGGATGCACACCTTCCTAGGCCTGGATGAATGGGGGAGGGTCTTGGACTTCACACAGGGCAGGGTCCCCTGCCCTCTCTTAGAACCAGAGGGGGAGGGTGGAGGGTGAGTGGGGGAGCGGGAGTAAAATGAGAGGAAGGGAAGAAGTGGAAATTTTGAATGGCATTATTTATAAAGCAATAAAAAATAAAAAAAGAAATAAAAAGAAAGAAGTGCTAATTCAAAGTGACTAAATTAGTTGCAAAGTGAACAAATTAATTGCAAAATGTCCAAATTATTTTGTGGCATGAATGTCAGAAGGTCTCACCTGTTAAGAAATTGGTGCTAAGAAAGGAAGAATCAGGTTACTCCCTGATAAAATATCAAATGCTAAGTGGTCTTCTCTAAATATATATACATATGCTTATCCCTAAATGGAACCAGCCGGTTGTATTTATATATACATACACATATATGTAATAATTAAGAGAATAAATCATGAATTAGAAAGGTGAAGCAGTGTATAAGAGGAGTGGGAGGATAGAGTGGGTAGGCTTAAAAATCATGTGAATAGAGCACACAAGTATCAAATTCTTCTATAAAAGAAATAAATGTAAAAATAAAATAAAATCACAGAGACAAAAGTTCTTTTTGTTTGTTACTTTATAAATAATACCAATCAAAATTTCCACTTTCTTCCCTCCTCCCACTACCTTTTTGCTGTATTGTTGTTAAATTCAAACTTTACTCCATGGTGATCTGATAAGACAAAACGTTCTTAAACCTTTCATAAAAATTTTCATTTCTTCTTAGTGACTTCGAGTGAATCCATCCACCTTTACAACTTTGATACCCTTTACCCCTCACATATTCCATACATTGTCTAAAGCACTACTTGACTACTGAAAACTTTTCTGTTCCTGTTCAAATTTTTGATATGTATTTTAAATTTAAATTAAAGAAATTTCACCTTATTTATTATGTAAATTCAATCCCATTATTAATTAATTATTTTACCCATTCTTGTCTGTTAGAATTGATTTTTGTGTTAATAAGATCCTGAAGCAATTTATCCATAATTCTCTTAAAATTGTTACCCTGTACTGAACTTTATTTGTTGACTGAATTTTCTTTCCCACTGCATCCCAAAGAAATACACAGAGGTCTACATTAATCATAACCTAATTGGCCTAATAGCTCAGGCTTCTTATTAACTCTTATAACTTATATTAGGCCATAATTCTTGTCTGTGTTATTCATGTGGCTTGGTACCGTGTTTGGCAAGGCAGTAACATCTTCCTTTCACTGTGTCTGGTTTCTTCTGTGTCTGGATGATGACTGTAGACTGCCTCTTTCCTTCTCCCAGAATTCTCTTGCTCTCGTTGTCCAGCCTACACTTTCTTTTTTTTTCCCTTTTTTATTGAGAAAAGGAGAAAAAAAAAAACAAGTTTCCACCTCCTCCCAGCCTCCCATTTCCCTCCCCCTCCTCCCCCCCTACGCCCCCTCCTCCCACCCTTCTCCCCCTCCCCCCACTCCTTTCCCCCTCCCTCTCCAGTCCAAAGAGCAGTCAGGGTTTTCTGCCCTGTGGTAAGACCTAGGACCTCCCACCTCCGTCCATATCTAGGAAGGTGAACATCCAAACTGGCTGGGCTCTCACAAAGCCATCACATTACGTAGGATCAAACCCCCGTGCCATTGTCCTTTGTGTCTCATCAGCCCTCATAGTTCGCCATGTTCAGAGAGTCCAGTTTTATCCCATGCTTTTTCAGTCACAGTCCAGCTGGTCTTGGTGAGCTCTCAATAGATCAGCTCCACTGTCTCAGTGGGTGGGTGCATCCCTTGTGGTCCCGACTTCTTTGCTCATGTTCTCCCTCCTTTTGCTCCTCATTGGGACTTTGGGAGCTCAGTCCAGTGCTCCAGTGTGGGTCTCTGTCTCTATCTCCATCCATCACCAGATGAAGATTCTATGATGATATGCAAGATATTCGTCAGTATTGCTCAAGGATAGGGTCATTTCAGGTTGCCTATTCTCAACTGCCCAAGGAACTAACTGGGGACCTCAGCTTGGGCACCTGGGAGCCCCTCTAGGGTCAGGTCTCTTGCCAACCCTAAAGTGGTTCCCTTAATGGCCAAAAGACACTTAAGGTCATGCTCACCTTCCTTAGCAATCAGGGAAATGCAAATCAAAACAACTTTGAGATATCATCTTACACCTGTCAGAATGGCTAAAGTCAAAAACACCAACGATAACCTTTGCTGGAGACGTTGTGGAGGAAGGGGTACCCTCATCCATTGCTGGTGGGAATGCAATCTTGTGCAACCACTATGGAAGTCAGTGTTTCGGTTTCTTAGGAAATTCGGGATCAACCTACCCCTGGACCCAGCAATACCACTCTTGGGAATATACCCAAGAGATGCCCTATCATATGACAAAAGCATTTGTTCAACTATGTTCATAGCAGTATTATTTGTAATAGCCAGAACCTGGAAACAACCTAGATGCCCTTCAATGGAAGAATGGATGAAGAAAGTATGGAATATCTACACATTAGAGTACTACTCAGCGGTAAAAAACAATGACTTCTCGAATTTTGCATGCAAATGGATGGAAATAGAAAACACTATCCTGAGTGAGGTATCCCAGACCCAAAAAGATGAACATGGGATGTACTCACTCATAATTGGTTTCTAGCCATAAATAAGGGTCACGGAGTCTACAATAGGTGAATCTCAAGAAGCTAAGAAAGAAGGGGAACCCAAGGTAAAACATATAGTTATCCTCTTGGCTAAGGGAAGTAGACAAAATTTCCGGGGAGAAAATTGGGATCTTGGGGTGGGGTGGGTTGGGGGTAAGGGGAGATGGGAAGAGAAAAGTTAGAAGGGAAGGAGGTCGGGCCTTGGGAAAGCAGGAGGATTGGGATAAAGGAAGGTTGGACAGGGGAGCACGGAACAGCCTATACTTTCTATGTGGTCACCCTGCCTATACTTTCTGCCTGGCCACTGGACAATCAGCATTTTATTAAACAAGTAAAAGAGACAAACATTACAGAGTAAAACCATTGTCCCACAGCATTTATTACCATTTGTTTCTGTGCATGGTCTGTGTCTCCTCTCAGACATAACAGTGCCTCTAGAATATAATACAAGTCATATATATGACTTAACATTTATAATTGTCAGTTAAAATGAAGCAAAAATATAAGAGTTAATAGTAATAAAATAGTTTTATTTTACCTAATACATCAGGATATGTTCTTTGAAGATTTAAGCAATATGAAATTATTTTTCCCTTCTGTTTGTATACTGAATCTGAAAAGCAAAGTCCGTTTTTCACTAGTCATGAATTCTCTTTAGACTAACAACATTTCACAGCCAATAGCCAATCATTGATTGTGTCTCATATTGGAAAGCACAACTTTAGTGTTCTAGTGTAATAAATAGAACATTGTAATAAAAAGAACACTGAATTACAATTAGACCTATTAAAATGCTTAATCTAATGTTTATTATATGGGTGTGACTGCTTTCCTCACTTTCTTTGATCCATAGTTTTTATGTGTATGGAGTTTTTTAAGGATTAGAACTTAGTGATTAAAAAATTTCTGATTTAGTGTTTATTTATTTAAAAACAAGGGCATTACTCAATTCAACATCTTGGCCAATATCTGGAACTTGGAACTGAAGGATTTGTCACAGTCATTTATTGAGCACAGAACACATTACCACTCTTATGGCATTGTCTGGTCCTCATAGAGTCTCAGTGGTTCTCTTCCTGGTCTGAATTGTGTCACCTGGCCTAATTCAATGGCCTCGTCTAATTTCAGTTTCCCTTTCATAGAATCTCTAATGCCATTGACATTTCTGTTGTTTTTAAATATTTCCCCAATATTCTAAATTCTGTTCATCTGTAAGCATTACTTTGCCATGATCTCTTTTTCTCTGATATTCAAAGCATCCTCTGCTAATCTTCATTCAAACTACAAGGTCACATTCTTAGGAGTAGTCTCCAAACACAAGACATCCATGTTAAACTCACTATATTATCAATTTTCTCATGATCTTCATCTATATTATGCTATTAACACCATTATTGCTTTAGTAATATTTATGCTGTTTTCTTTTTATACTAAAAGGAACTTCTAGAATAGGAACCTGCTTTGTTCATCATTATAGTCCTCACATACTCTTTCTTTGACAAAAGGAGTACACTAACTCATTACTGGCTAAATGTAAGGGTGGGTTGTTTCTTAACCTATACTATATTTCTTTCATAGGTATAGAGGTACATTGTGAAAAGCAATGAATTTTTATTTTTTATTAAGCAATGTTTCAGGAATACTGCTCTGACCACTGATTGATCCTATGGATTGATGAAGGGGAAATGCATATATGTACGTTCCAGAGGCATTTAAGTTTAGTGTCATTCCTTATATAAATTTTACTAATTTATTTGTTTTGAGGACTTTTTATATATACTCTTCTGAACTGCCAGATATCCTAATTTATCTTTCACTTTAGTAATAAAATAGCAGGTACATTCCATTATGTTTTTCAGTTTCTTAAAATTGAAAGACATTATTAAAATGAAAAAAATCTTAATGGGAGCCAAAAGCCAAATTGATGATCCTATGACTATTTGTAATGGACAATGCAAAGATTTATATATGGAAAGTTCTAGATATATTTGATTTCAGTTGTGATGTACTATTGGAGGACATAAACAAGATGTAATGCCAATCAAATAATATTTGCCCTTAAAAATACTAAGTTTATTCTCCATGGGAGTTTCTAAGGATTCTTCATCTGCTCACAGCATTGCTGCTAATCTCTTTCAGAATATAGCTTGTACTCTAAATATTTATTCATGAACATTTACTTTGCAAATTTTCCCTCTTTCAGCATATAAAGAGGTGGTAGAGAGAACACTGACAACTTCAAAGCAAAATGAAGTTCTTCCTATTGCTTTCCCTTATTGGGTTCTGCTGGGCTCAGTATAACCCACACACTCAATCGGGAGGGACTTCTATTGTCCACCTGTTTGAGTGGCGCTGGGTTGATGTAGCCAAGGAATGTGAGAGATACACCGCCTCTGAGAACCACACTGCACTACCGGAAGGAGGCTTTCCTTGTAAGCAAAGAACTCAAAAGTTTTGAATTAAAACTTAGTCTAGGTGATCCAGAGATTGGAAGGACTGTTTCAGTATAGCACCGAAAGGAAAGCAGCCCACTGTGTACACAGTAAAGCAGTGGAAACGCGGTTCGGTCGTGCACAGATTTGCAGATCGTATTTTTACCTGTGTGTGTGTCCAGCTCGCTGTAGTTGGGCTTCTTGGAGGCGTTGAAATGTTTCTTGACCAGGAAGGAGCGCGGCATGGTGGGGCGGGCGGGCGCGGGCGTTATACGGTCCAGGCGGCGGTCCTACAGCTTCGCAGCGGCTCAGGTGCGGCGGGGGACAGGCGGGCGCCTCTGAAGTCACCGGGCTCCCTGCCCGACTGAGCTCTTCTGGACTGGGAGGGGTTTTCTCCCTGGCTTTTTCTAGAAGCATCCAATCACAGCCGAGAGGTTCGGATTTCAGCTCCTCCTTGTGGGAAGGCTGTGAACAGAGGAAGAATCTGTTGTCAGACTAAATTATTCTGGTTCAAAATGGGCTGTTCAAGGCATTTCAGCGGAGGCCTAAAATATATTAAATGTTTTCAAAGAGAAAATTTCGGTTCTTGAACATTGCGGGAAGGCATTCCCACGAGCTGACCGTGGACGACTTGGCTTCCAGATGTGGGCCTTGCAGGGCGCGGCGTGGGCGGGTAGGAAGGGCCGTGCTCGGGACCGCGCAGCCTCTGGTGACCGGAGAGCCTATATTTGGAAGTAGCACTTGGAGGGGGTTTATTTGCACACGGGCCAACTATGGCCCTGATTTTTTGGAAGGCGCCCCGTAGCCGCTGTGGCTGGTCTGGCCAGCTCTAGGACCGCGCGCCTGGAAGTTAACTTGCTGGCTGCTGCGTTAGCCGCTTAAAAGGAATGCCTTGAGATTTCTGTCTGGTGCTCCCATGTGGGTCTCTGTCTCTGTCTCTGTCTCCTTTCATCGCCTGATGAAGGTTAATATTCATGAGCATGCCTATGTGTTTGTCTTTGGATTCACCTTCTTATTTAGCTTCTCTAGGAACATGAATTATAAGCTCAATGTCCTTTATTTATGGCTAGAAACCAAATATGAGTGAGTACATCCCATGATCCTACTGCACCATACTGGCTTTGGGGGAGCCTAGGCAGTTTGGATGCTCACCTTAAGAGACCTGGATAGAGGTGGACGGTCCTTGGGCTTCCCACAGGTCAGGGAACCCTGATTGCTCTTCGAGCAGATGAGGGAGGGGGACTTGATCAGGGGAGGGGGAGGGAAATGGGAAGCGGTTGCGGGGAGGAAGCAGAAATCCTTAATAAATAAATAAATAAATAAAAAGAAAAGAAAAAAAAAAGAAAGGAATGCCTTGCAGTCTGTCCCAGGAACTGGAAGAGTACAAAGATAAAAGGGAAGCTTGGGCAGACTCCGACAATAGGCAGACTCTGGAAGAATCATGGAACGTTCTCAAGACGACATGAAGACTTACTTCCTTTGTAGCATGTAGAGTTTTAGTGAAAGAAAAACTTCATTTGTGAATCTTTACAGACAATTAATTCTTAATAGTATTTGCTTTAATTTAGTGGTATTTTCTTTGGTAGGGGTTTTTAACACTCCGCCCAACCCCTGCTCCCTCACCACACAACTTTCCTGATTTGCATTAAAAGATGGCAAAGGGTTCTTTTGCAAGCTACTTGACTGGCAGCTAGACAGTCCAGTAGCCAGCCAATCCCTTGCATTTGCATATAAGAATAGGTCTAAAACTGCTCCGAAGTGACTCTTTTTAAAACTGCAGTTTTCGCCATACGCGTAGGCAATTCTGTTTTATTTCAGTATTATCCCAACAAAATCCGAGAAACAAATCCCCCAGAAGACAACTGACTTCTTTTTAAAAGGTGCTGGAAGAGAACAGCGGAAAGAGAATCCCACCGTCGGTGTTGAGACTTGTAAGAGAAAAGCGCATTGTCAGGTGGCACAACTTCTTAATCTGGGATGAGAAAACAGGAGTGTGTGGGCGGGGTGGGGGGAGGGGAACCCACAGACTTCCTGGGTTGATTTCAATGATTCCTGTCCCTTCTTCCAACAGTCACTGATTTAAACGTCAAGCACAGAAAGGAGTTTATATGAATCCTTATATTAAAGGAACTGAACCTTCAGGGGACAGGAAAACACGAGAATCCATTAGATAGCTCCCTAGGTTACCATAAGTGCGGACAAGAGCTGGAATCTGAGCTTACCTAGTGGGTTTGTTCCTATTCAGGCACCTGTTTTATAGAGAAGAATTCTTCTTCCCCGTGCCACCTAATTTGCTGCAAAACGCACCGATTGTTAGAGATCTAATATCGTTAAGACAACACAAAGCCACAGGGCAACTGGGAATGTCAAAGGATGTTTAAGTATTTGTTTACTAATAATTATCACACACAAGACAACCTGTAAAATTAGTTCTTACTATCTATTTAAAAATTTGGTAGTTATTCATTGTGGCTGGAAAAACAAAAGCAAAAAGAACACTTGAATTTGAACCACAAATGCATAAACCAGCCGAGTTTTGTGCCTAGGGGCCCCGGGCTGGGGGCTAAGTTAAGAGACTACAACCAAAATTCATGTATTCTCTTCTGCAAGGAGCCTGTATGCTGGCTCCAGACTGCTCGGAAGGCTAGCCACAACATAGAGCCAGGTTTGCTCTAAACGCCTGAGGTCTGTTCCACCTGACAGCAGGGGAGAGTCCACAGGCTGCTGACATAAATCACATTAAACAGGTACTCTGCTCGGGCACAGCAGAGGACAATTGGTGCTAACCTGATGTGGCAAAAATTCAAGAATGGAAGTCCAGCACACCCGAGGCCAGCTGAAGGACTCTGCTAGTGCAGGACAGGTTTTCTCCCTGCAAGCACCAGGCTTTTTATGGGTGAGGGTGCTGACTTTTTTGCTTTGCTTAGACAGCAACACTGTATTTTAAATGTTTCATTCTGAATTCAAATAAAGAGAGAGAGAGAGAGAGAGAGAGAGAGAGAGAGAGAGAGAGAGATGGCTTACAAGTAGCCTTTCCTAATGCAGGGAATTAGTTAGTCCTAGGCAGGAGAGAAACTGGTGTTCCTTAAGTAGGCAGCTTAGAGAAGCGACTTAGAGAGAGATACTTCTTGTAGAGAACCCCAGCCAAATGAAGCTAGAGCTACCCCGTAAGTTAAATTAACTTAGGCTGTAAAATGTCATCTAAGGAAGGGAAGAGTACACAAACCCCCATGTGCTTCTGTAGTGGACCTCATCACCCCTCTGCAGGCTTAAGTGCACTGGGAGGTAATCTTGACCTGTTTTCCAGGGAACTCATTCCTGGGTCCAATGGAACTCTAGAAAGTTCATGCCATCTCTTCACGTTCTTGCATTTCCTCTACTCTCCAACAAGCTGACCAGGATGGCTTGAATCTTTCCCACGAGGCTGCCTGGATTCTTGGGGTGAAGTAATAAGGGCGGCGGCGGGGCTGCGTCCCCAACACCCCAGCCGCCTGCCCGGCTAGCTTATGCCCCAAAATAATTACATGGACACTGTATTCTTTTAAACACTGCTTGGCCCATTCTCTTCTAGGCTAATTCTCACATATTAATTTAGCCCATTTCTAATCATCTGTGTGTAGCACCCCAAGGTGCGCTTACCGGGGAGATTCTAGCCTAGTCCATCCTGGGTCAGAGCTTCATCGCTTGTGTCTGCCAGGGAACAGGGCATGGCGTCGCTGCTGAGGCGTCTGCTCCGGAGAGCAGAGCTGTGGAGTCTCTGACCTCACTTCCTCTTCCTCCCAGCATTTTGATCTGTTTACTCCACCTACCTATGTCCTAACCAATAAAATGGGCCAGGGCAGTTCCTTTATTAGCCAATGACCTTCCTCCATCATTTCCCCTTTTTCGGTTTAAACAAAAAAAAAAAAAAGGCTTTAACATTAACATAGCAAAATTATATAAAACAAAACAGTTATCAAGTAAAAGTTACAATAATCTTTATCATAACTAAGGAAAACTATAACTATAACTAACTATTCTTAACTCCATCAAAGATTCCAGAAAGATACAATATTACCTAAGTAAACAAGAACTAAGAAACTTCAAACTCTAGAAATGACAAAGACGTCTCGCTGCCTGGACAGTCACCCAAAGTTCTTTTGTACCGTTGGGGCATCCATCTTCAGCCTTCAGGCCCATGGTATCCAGCAGACATTTGCATAAAGCAGGAAAATTCAAAGTCAGTTCAGTCACTATCTGTTGTGTCCTGCAGAATGTCTCACAGACTCTTTCAAAATGAATCAGGAACCCCGAAAGATCATCTCACCTAAGGCAAGTTCAGTAGTCCTCTCTCTGCGGGTTCTCTGCGTCCAGTTTATGCAATAGTCCAGGCAAGAGCAGTTTCTTGCCCAAATGGCTATCAATCTCCATAACGAGCCTCTTCGATGCCCATCATCCTCTTGAAGTACATTGGTGCTGCCATGAGCAGAGTGTCTCATTGTCATGAAAATTCCTAAGTTATTAAAACATTTAAAATGCCATATTCTATAATCTTTGAAAAATATGAATAATGCCTATTTAAAATATATCTCTATATACCTAGAAAATCTAACTAACATGACTACAAGCTTTACTATTATCAATGATTATCCATTAACAACCTATATTTCCTAATTATACAGTACATATTAATAATGAACTACACAATCACAACACCTTAATCAATATCAGAAATACATATACATATAACAGAATTGACCGTAAATCGCTATCAATAAAGCAAAATCTATACTAAAGCAAATTATTCATACCTATATCATATCCCCCTTTAAATGTAAAAGAACATTTATAAACATGTTTTGGGAATATGGGCGCAGTTATTTCTCTCCAAACTGCTTCCTGCTGAATGGGGGCGTCGTTAATTAGGTCTTTCATGGTATAACCTGTGTGTTAGTTTCATCTCAGTTGGCAGTTGAGCAAAGCAATTTTCTGAAGATGTTCACAACAATCCTTCAGGAGGGCGTGGTCCATCATACCAAATCGGAGTAGAAGAAATGAACAACGTCTCATTCTCTGTGAAAACAAAATAAGAAACTCCTTTCCAAAGTATCATATCCTTAGATCCAAATTCATAATATCTATGTTGGATTATTTCAGCAGTATTTATAAATAAATATCTTTTAGCATCTGTTTCTCTTTCCTCAGCATTTAAACAATTCAAAGAGAGCATAATAGCATACAGTATCAAAATTCTCTGTGTATTTTCCATCTTTGTGCAGCTGTGTTTTAACCTCTATTTTGTTTATTTTTACTTTTAACTCTTTGCTTTTTGAGACAGGTTCTCTGTATCTTTGACCTGAAGTAACTCTGTAGACCAGGCTGTCTTTGAACTCTCAGAGATCCGCCTGTCTCTGCCTCCCAGGCATTCGGGATTAAAGGTGTACACTACTACACCTTGAACTCACAGAGATCTGTTTGTCTCTGCCTTCTAGGCACTGGGATTAAAGGCGTGTGCTACCACACACAACAACTCTCTTCCTTTTTTTTTTTGTTTTTTACTTTAAGAATTTTGACTTTTAGTCTGCATATATTTTTAACACGCTGTAAATCATTTAGAAATTTTCTGTCTTTGAATCTCTCTTTACT